GAATGAGTTGCCTACTCCAGCCCCAGAACCATGAGAAGCCAGATACACTAAGGACCATCTACTCAGAGATACCAGGCACTTCCATGATTCTACCACAAAACAACCCTGCCCCGCCAACTGGGGTATTTTTTATCCAACTTACATTCTAGCTCCAGACCAGAGGACAAGGCTCCATTACTTTTCTCTGCCTAGCCTGTTTTTAGCAAATTCCCTGGGGTAATCCTGTATTATGGGACACATCTGTGATTCTGTCCCCTGGTTGCAAGGGCATGCTCCACCCCAACTCCCCAGGGCACACCTCCATATTTGTCCCAGCGGGTAGGAAGCAGCTTGGCTTCCATGCCCCAGTTAAGGCACGCTATTTCATACTGACATACTGTTTCCCTGTTTTCTAACTTTCCCACAATCAGTACCAGAGAGATATGGCTTCTAGCCCATTTTTAGAAGCTAATGCTGACAAGAACATGTTTTTAAAATATTTTTAGAAACAAAGATTATTTCAGAATAATGAAAACATAATCACACTCAATGTATAAACAGTGAAGTTAATTTAGTAAACAGTTAAATGTAACATAGTCACAAAAATATTACGCAAGAGCAAGTTCAGCTTGGAGCACTAGTGTCTCTTTTCACAGGGAGATAATAAATGTTCTCCAGCCAAAGGCAACTGGGCAAAAGGCTCAGGATTGTTACTCTTCCTCCTTTTCCTCCCTCCCTTCCTTCCTTTCTTCCCTCCTTCCTTCCTTCCTTCCCTCCTTCCTTTCTCCCTTCCTCCCTCCCTTCTTTATCTTTTCCTTTCTGTCATTTTGGGTGTTACACAGTACTTGCAGATTCACTGTAAAGGGATTCATTGTCAACCTATCATAATATAGTATAAGTATTTTTAATGTCAGTAAATATACATATACCTCTCTCTTCACCACCATTTTAAATAGTTACTTAACTCAGTACATAACTATGCCATAATTCATTTAACTAATTTCCTAATGTGGAACACTCTGATTCATTTCTAACATCTTTTACTGTTATAAATCATGCTGGTCAATGGCCTTGTTAAGATCCAAGCAACTGCTACTTAGTTATTTCCTGCTTTTCTAGTTACCTATTTACCTCCTCAAAAAATCCTAGTAGGTATGGAATTCACTTTTATAAACACGATATGATATCTAAACAAATTCAGTAACTTTGCTATAGTATGATATAGTGCTTAAAAACTTGTATTTGAAAGCCAGCCTACCTGAGTTTGAATCCAGCTCTGCCATTTGCTAGCTATGTGAACTTCAGTGAGATATTTAACCTCTGTGTACTTCTGTTTCTTGACCCATGATATGAGGATAGTAATAGTAATTATCTCTTCTACTTGTGAGGATTAAAGAAATGATGTATTCAAAGGCACAGAACAGTATCTAGCATTTAGTGCTTGCTCAAATAATATTAGCTAACATTAGTGATAATTAACTTGCTTTTCCTTTTTATTCACAGTGTTAAATGTAAATTCCATAAAAATATGGCTGCAGACAAAACTTCACTTTGGGGCAAAAAAAATATTTGGAGCAGAAAAAAAAAGTAGAGGTCTCAAGGGGGTAAAGCACATGTTCGGAAATATGGCCAATTCTTAAGATGTGGCCAGGTGTCAAATCTATAGTACAATGGAGTAGCTGAGCTGGGCTACACGCAGTCGGTGTGGTCAAGATAGGTGTAGTCACAACACATGCCCCAGTCACACCCCATCAGCCACATTATGTGTTCAGTCATGTGTAGATTACCTGTGATCTTTCCTGTCCATATGAACTGGAACAGGATGGTATACATTTGTTTTTACTTCTCTTGTAGGGCTCTTGTCTCTTCCTTCTTTTTTCTTAGTGAAAAGAGAGAAAAAGTCAAGTTTCTTGTTTACTTGGGCTTTTCCTAAAGAACAGCCTTTATTGTACTCGCTTGACCTCCTTGGAGAGCCTGTTCTGCAAACAGTTCTTCTCCATCCCGCAGGGTTCTGGCAGCCAGAGACCCCTCGGTGGGAGCAGCAACGGGGTATGAGCTCAGAAGCTATTTCTGGAGATAGGAAAATACAGGGAATTTGGGGTCAGTCGTTCACTCTTAACCACTAGAGAAGAGTATCGGAAATATCTAAATTAGGCAATTTTTTTACACTTTAATTATTAGGTCAAGTACTTGGTTGATAAGAAAATAAATTCAAGAATACGTCAATGTACAAAGGAAAGACCAGGCATTTTTCTTGACTAAATAGGCCTGTGGTCTCAAGGACTGACAAAAAAATTTCTTGTCAAAGGCCTGATTTTTGTTCTTAGTTTTGTAGCAGACTCGTTGAATCCCAGAAATGGTAAAACAACACAGCTCTTTCATTAGGAAGAAGTTTTTCTTTGGACCATGTCCCTGGTCCTCCTTGTATCCTATATCATTACTTTGTGAGACAGGAGCCTGGATGGAATAGCCAGAGCCCAAGGCAGCTGAGTGACCTGCCAGTCAGCAGGCCTGTATCTAGAGTGCTTTCTTGTGAACTAGGATTCCACTTGAGCCCTCCTTAATGGAATGTTTCCTAGAATATCTACTTTATGATCAAACTTTACAGAAGAAATTATTTTCAAAAGAAAAAGCAAGAAGGAAGAATTGATCAACTGCTGTTTCTAACCTAATATTGTCTGTGGGAAACTTTATGGACATTGGAAACCACAGAATACTTTCACTCCAAAAAATGGATATATCCTAGAACTAATGGTGATTTTCAAAGTTCTAGAATGTTTTCCAAGTGTTCAGGAAAAATGCAAGTCGATAAACATTTTTGAAGCCTTGTTAAGAGGGAATCGTAGATCCAGGCTTCCTTGTGGCTTACAGAGAAAAGTGGCAGCTACAAATATGTCACCTTGATGTCCATCATAAGAGGATGAATAGACCAAACCATGGAATATTATATAGCCATGAAAAATGAAATAGCTCTATTGTGTATGTACTGACATGGAATAATTTGTTATAAATTGTTTAGAAAAGTAATGATGCAGAACACTACTCATAATGTGATTTAATTTTTATAAAAACAAAAAAACAAAATCTATAAACATATGGATATTGACATCTGCTTCATTAAGAGCTAAAAAAAAAACGTATTTCAACTGTTATCGGTACATTCTCCAAGGTATCAAGAGTGAATAAAGAAGATGGAATGCTCTGGCTGGTGTGGCTCAGTGGATTAAGCGCGACCCTGCAAACTGAAAGGTCACTGGCTCGTTTCCTAGTCCAGGCACATGCCTGGGTTGCAGGCCAGGTCCCCAGCTGGGGGCATGCGAGAGGCAACCAATCAACATCTCTCACACTAGTGTTTCTCTCCCTCTCATTCTCCCTCCCTTCCCCTTTCTCTAAAAATAAGTAAATAACATTTTTTTAAAGAAGATGGGAATGGTGACAGGGGAGGGGGAAGAAAGAAATGTTAACTTTTTAATTTTTCCACATCTGTATTTGTATTTTTCATAAGCCATGTATTTTATAATATTTTACACAAAACATATAAAAATCTTTGTATCAAAAATAAATCTCTATGTGTGCAGTGGTTTGAAGTTCTGTTCTACAAAGAAACATGCTGTCAATTGGCAAGTAGTACAAATGACAAGTACCCTTCTACCTGAAAAAAACTGCTTAAAATAACCATTTAAATTGTCTCACACTTGTAAACATCGGCTATTACATGTCATAGATTATAGGAAGAGGTTAAAGTAAAATCCAAAGCTGCTATAAGATGGAAATTATCATGTCTTGTTTGAATGGGCTGATAGTAACAGTGAAAGGGACGTGTATACAATTTAAAAAGATGCTGAAAGTATGTAAATATTTTCATAATAATGTGAGAAAGATATGCTGCTGCCCTGTTACAATATTTAGCATCTTAGATACTGATCGCCATCCTTACACCTTCCTTATGAAGAATTTCATCTCAACAGAGAGGGGAATGATTTCCATGGACATGAGTCCATTAACTAATTAACACATTTGTATTGAGAATCTAATGTGTGCAGTGCTGTACATACTGGGTGGGGGAGAGGGAATACAAAATGGGTAGCTAATGGGGTAGCTGAGGTGGTACACAGACTGTAGAACACAGCATGGATTGTAGTAAGCACACGCAAAGCTAAAATCTAAAGTAGGACTTCTGAATAGAGTGGTTGGATGGTCCCTCCAAAGGGAGGTGTTTTGTTTTCTATTTTGTTTTGTTTTAGAGTAGGAAAAACATGAACATCATTGTAAGTAAAGGGGAAAGAGTCAGTATGGAGAGGTGATAAGGAGGAAATTAATCAGGTAACCCTGGTAGAGGCCTGAAAAGGGCCCAAAGCGAGATGTTGGTCATGAAAAGGAGGATAAATATTATGCAAAATATGTGAAGAAGGAAGGGACCCTGAGTGGTGAGACACTCTGAAATGAAGGGAAAGGAAACCAAAGGAACCCACTTCTGCCAGCTTTGACATTCTTATCTTAGTCTAGTGAGAAGTTACATTGTTGACAGGGAGTAAAGGGGTGGTGGGTAAGTTTGAGAGCTGCAGGAAGATTTGGAATAGCCACTGTGAAGAATATAAATCAGCCAGAAATAATGGAAAGGGTTGTGCAGCATCATTGAGGTTATTGCTGGTGCTAAGTAGCATAAGTTTAATGAAACTAATAAACTTTTCCATTACTTTCTCTAGCAAGGTTGCATGAAAGTAGGCACAGGGGCATAGAAATTCAGCTTAGCCAGGATGCGTGTTTTGTAGAAATCAAATAATTCTTATACTGAAAGCTGTATATGAAAATTCACTGGAAATTAATTGCATAATTTCAGATTTTGCTTTGTTGATTTGTTTCTTTCCCCTTAATATTTAGAGTCAAATCATTCAGATAACTGTATTTTCATAAAGAAGTAAGAATAATTTTCTGTACTTCAAATGTTAACCAAGCAAATAATGCTGTTAGACTTTAAGTTCCTAGCTCATAGTTGCTTCTCATATATTATATATTTTTAGGCTGGAAAAACTAATAACATCCTTTTTGGAAGACCAGGATCCAGAGAGCAGACTAGAGGTTGGCACCGATATGCGTAAAATTCATCACTGTTTCCATTATTTAAAGGTAAATGTGAGCATTTCCCCTAGTAGAAGCCATCATCTGCTATGTTCAAACTGCAATAAAGTGTTCCTAGTTAACAAACTCTTAAAAAGTTAGGACTCGTCTTCACACAGCCAGAACAGGATGATCTTCGAACCAAGGCTGTGATTGTCATCGAATTTCTTCAGAGCCTGTCTGTTACTTGCCAATGAATAAGCTCAGACCATAGACTTCCGATTCTTTTGCCAGGAACCTCTACCTTCTACACAGAATAATTCCATGTTCAAAAACCATTTATGTTCAAACTAAATCAAGAGAATTTTTCTTTCTTTTTTTTTTCTAGTAGTTTTAATGTATCCATATAAATCTCAGTTTTTCTCCGCCTTGGGTTTTACCTTTTGTGATGACGTAGTGGGACTATCATTAACCTTTACTTCTGCCTCACTTATAATTTGGCACATTTCTTTAAGATAGTGCACATGTGTTGTGAGTCTGCTATGGGGCAGGCATAGGGAAGGCGAAGTTGAATAAGTAAGTCATGGAGAAGACATACGTAAGGAATAATCACACTACATGCTAAGTGTTATTTTAAAAAGTGGTTTGGGGTTATGGAGAGAGTGAAAGAAATTCAAGAGGAGATAATGTTTGAGCAGGCATTTCCCAGTTTGGAGAAGAAGAGGTCAGATAGTGGAGAGGAGAAGGAGGACAGAGAGAGGACAGTGGAGAGGAAGACGTGCCAAGCAAAGGGACCTGCGTTGCGCAGACAAGGGAGGCAGGAAAGCACATGTATGTCTGACATGTGTGAGCCATTGTGAAAGGTGGAAAGAGTTGAGGAAACAAATTGGAATAGAAGCATTGACACTAGCTCTTATTCCATTTTCCAGAAACTACTGAATGACAAGAAGATTTATGGGAAGAGCACAGTGTCCTCCGAAATCAAAGATCAGGACTGCCAAGAGCCATTACAAGAGGAAGAATATAAAAAGCTACGAGATATTCTACAGCAGAGAGATAATGAAATCAGTATCCTTTCTGAGGCAATAACAAAAAAAAAATCTCCCTCTACTGGGGAGTGGGAGCACTTAGATGTCTTCCCATGGCTACATCACCTCGCTCCCCACCCTGCTTCCAGTTCACATCGCTTCTTTCTGTTTAAAAGTGAAATGTCTCTTCAGGAAACAAAATGTAGCAACTAGTGAAAAATGAAGTTGCTAAAAAAGAAGAAAATTTAGCCAGATATAGTTGCTATAATGTTTCAGATATATATGTGTATATGTGTGTGTGTGGAGAGAGAGAGACTAAAAATCACAGTCTATTGAAAAGTATGGGCCTTTTTACACCATCTTTTAACATTAAATTTTTAAAAATGTTCTTGGACTTCTCTGCAGTGCTCTGTTTTAGTCCTGAGACAGTAAGTTAACTGGTTATCTTTAGCGAGCTGACCGGACACCAGGCTGACCGCAGCCTCACCATGGCCCAGAATTTGTGGCTGTGTGTGGGTGAAACTCAAATGATGGCTGAAAAATGACAAATGGTATTTATCTTATGAAGTGCAGAGATTGATTTAAATGTAACTTTTTATTTAAAAGCCAGATCTACTGCTTTGGATTCCACTCACAAATGTTACCAAATTTGGAAGTGAGTACAGATGAGCATTCGTGATAGAACTCTCCCAGGCTCTAGGAGGTGGTGTATTTCGGGTGCCGAATGTGGTGGCCGCCCATGGGAGTTGCTGCAGTGACCGGCCAGGTGGTTAATTCTAAAGAGCCCTTGGTGGTTGAGTTAGACCTCTGGTCTCCCCCACATGTCTTCAGTATTGTTTCTTATTTTATCTTTCAAGCGTCTTATGAAAGATTTGACATTTTCATTACATTTGCAGATTTAAACATACACAAGAAATTATTTTGGTCTGTTCTTTATGAACAGATATTTGGCTCATTTTTTTAATTACTAAAAGGCATTTTAGCTTTAGTTTTTGTGCAAAATGCATAAAAATAACCTACATGAAGGGAATCCGGTAACAAAAAAGTAAAAAAAAAACAAAAACAAAAAAACAAATATGAGGTAGGCACACTGCCTGATTAACTTCAGTCTCTAATTTTAGTTGAGTACTAGTAGACCCTCTATGTCTGATTCCAATGAATTTTAGCTGCTTTACCATCCAGCAACAATAGGTTCAACTGTGAAGGACACGCCCACACAAGCCCTTGTTTAGGGGAGCTGCCACAGGTGTTGTAAGCTTGCATTCCTTTTCCTCTCTCCTCCCCTCTCCATCCCCAGGATGGTTCCAGCCTAGACCTCAGTCCTGGCCCAGCCCCAGTCTGAGCTCTGTTGCTTTTCCTGGGCCTGATCCTAATTGAGGATCTTTTCCCCTAAATACTCCTACCAACTTCTTAATCCCCTTCTGGGCTTATGAATGTCTGTACATAGAGGAGGGATGAAGTGAGGTCTGACGGGGAGAGAGAGACATACATCATTTCCTTCTTCACTGGCAAATCCAGGTACTGCTGTCCATGGGGGGCTACACTAGATTCTTTCCTGACTGAATAACTCGAGCAGGGCCCCGTCCTTCTGAGACTCATATTCAAAGTGATGGTGTGTAAGAGGCATGGGGCAAACAACACTGAACTTAAAGTTTGCACCCAGATTGACATCCTAGCTCCCTAGGCATTGCTTCACAGCGATTCAATGAAGCAGTTTCCTCCTCTTCAGGAGGAGAAGCACAGACCTGCCCTGGCAACCCCAGAGTGCCGAGCAAAGCCCCTGAGATCATCCCCTGGAAGTACTGTGAGCACTCTGCAGTACTACAGAATGCAGTATGTGACTGTAGACAACTGTAGACAATGGATAAGTCAGAGGAAGGAAAAACAGCAGCTAAGATTTGAATAATTCATCAATGAGTTTATACTTATCAAGGGCTAATGACCAAGAAATGTTCCTGAAATTGCATAGTTTTTCACAGTTGGGTTGGAGGATATATATATATATATATATATATATATATATATATATTTTTGTAGAAGCAAGACCGAACTAAGTAGAGCCAAGAAGGCCAAGACTATGACAGGCAAAATAAGGAAGATATGATGTAACAGGGGAAAAGAAAGTGATAATACTGAAGTAAACAAAAGATTGTAATGCTACCAAAATGAAAGTGGACAACACTGAATATTTGTTCTGGAAAGAGAGTGAAAATGATGTCATTTTAGTGACTTTATCAGTTTGAATGCAGTTCAGACACCCTCTTCCGAAAACATATAACAGAGTGTCACTTAGTACCCCCCTCAGAGCTTGACACAAAGGAAGCCCAGAGTTAAACAGAGTGGGAAGGGGAAGAACACAAGGAAAGATGAGAAAAAGGAAGGCAGCAAAGAAGATAGATTTGTATTGTGATCTTTATAAAATATGAATCAGAACATATAGTTTGTATGATTAAAATGTTCTAGTGGCTTCCCATTAAACTGAGAATACAATTTGGACTCCTCACTCCAAATTCTGAGGCCTTGCATAATCATACTGTTAAACATCCTACAACACAGGAAAGCTACCACAACAAAGAATTGTACAGCCCTAAATATCAGTGGTGCTGAAGCTGAAATTTCCTGTGTTAGAAGAACAAAACAGTCACTGTGACCAAAGTCTATGGGACAAGGGTATGAGAGATGAAGTCAGAATGGTAGGTGGGGGCATGATTACTCAAGGCCTCAGAATTTGGAGTGAGGAGTCTGAATTTCAGGGGACAATGGGAAGGGTTCACGGGAACAAATTTAAAGGACACGTGGACAAAAACTAGGGGGAGGGTGGTAATGGGAGGGAAGTGGGGAGGGTTGGGAGGGTGGGCTGGATTGGGAGTAAAAGGGAGAAAACTGTACTTGAACAATGATTAAAATAAAATAAAATTTAAAAAAAAACCAGTATCTGTGGCCTCTACCTACTACATTTCTGTAACAGCACCTACCCCCATTCCATATGTAATAACCAAAAATACCTCTAGACCTGACCAAATGTCCCCTGGGGGGTAAAATGGCCTCTGCTTGGGAGGGCCTGCCAAGCCCACTGCTTAGGGTTTTAGCCCTGCCCATTTCCTCTGCTCAGGTACTCTTCCTCTGCCTGATTCCTTTTGTCATTCGGATATCAGCATAAATGTCACTCTTAAAAAGGATAGCACCCAATGTACAGTAGCCATTCATTTGCTCTTGATGTTTTAAAATAAGCTACCTGGCACTTTCATGTTCTAACATTTGGTGTGTGTGTGCACATGCATGCACATGTGTGTGACCTGATTTTCTCTTGTAGGAAACTTGCTTCATGAGATGCTGCCTTTTCACCTTTCTATTCCTGATCTGGAATACTGCCTAGCACATAGTACAAGTTCCAGGAGACATCACTGGATGGGTAAATGAAAGCATGTTGCCACCGCAGTGTATGAACCAATCGAAGTGTATGATGCTGCTGTTGATAACCAGGTGGCCACAAAGAGGAGTGGAAGATGTGGGCAGATAGATCCTGTTCTTCTCTGTCGGGCCAATGCCTAGACACCACAGATGGTTTGAACACCTTTGGTGGGTACAAGGTTTTTTTAAGGTAAAGGATAGAGGCTTCACTGGGATTGCAAAGTGAAAACTGATATTCTTCCAGAAATTGAAAAGTTTGAGTCAAAGCTGAGGTGGAAGATGGAAGCCAAACGATTTCCATATTACTTGCCCAAGAATAAGTGTAACTGGTTGCTTCCTCTCTTTTCTGAGTATCAGTCTTCTCTCCTGTACTTTCCTCACATTTTCTCAAACTCCTACATGAACAAAGCCACCTCTAGGGATGGAAAGATCTTGAATTCATTACACTTCAAATGCAGTTAGAGTTCTGACATTCTCAAGGGGGATTATAGTTTTTTGTTGTAGTGACAGCAGAAATCCCTTACAGTTCTAGGCATCCCAAACCCGAAAGAACGGTGAAGGAGAGTAGAATGGAATGATTTTATCACGTATCACCAGTACCCATAGTATATCTAAACGGCCTACAAAAGGTGCATTTTAAAGTGATAATCTAACAAATAATTTACCTGTTTTGAATTCAGCTTTAGACCCAAAATTAGATATTGTAACCAAAGTCTCTTTGAAGGCTTTTGGAAGGTGTTCTAACTAAGATGGGGTGCTCTGGCCACCTGGATTGGCTTGGCCCATCTGCCAGCTGGGCCGGTTCTGCTTCTCTCTCTCCACTCCTGAGCCTCCTGGATTAAACTCTTATTTACTCACTGATATATACATAGCTCCATTGCCTACTGCTACTCAGTGTTCATTTTATTTTTATAAACCTTTCATAAAAATTTTAAGGCTTTATTGGTTTAAACTCAGAATAGTTTAAAGACCTATCTTTTCCTATAATGGCGCCATGTTGAAAGACCAATAGCCTCCTACCCTGTCCATGACTCTGTCTGTGACTCCAGGAAATGGGAGACTTTCTTTAATCAGTTTTTACCATGTGACAAATAGAAAATATTATTGGGAATATATTCATCTCATTTGAAACACTCGTGTTTTGATCATTATAATCTAGCATGAGTCATGAAATCCTTAAGCCAAGTCTCAGATATTCTGGTCAATATGTTAAAGAAGGAAAAGAAGAAAGCTCAGGATGCTCTCCACTTATCTATCATGGATAGAAATGAGTGCAGACATGCACAGAGCTCACCCTTTCCTCCTGGGAACCTGGAAGGTCCAAGGCCATTGCTGTCTTCAACTCCCACACAGGTCCAGGACTCCACCACTTTAGAGCACCGATCCAGCTTACTCCAGAGAAAAACAGGTCAGTGATACTTTTTTATAAGTGTAGATTATATAACCTTAAATAGAAAACATAGACTATCATAAATTATACATCAATATAAAAAATAAAAAATGTAAACAGTTATAATCTTATCATTATAATGATCATTTTTATTATTACTAATATTTATTGAGGCATTGTAGTTGGGGCAGCAGCTACAAAAGACCCCAAGTAAAGTTTATCCATCCTCAAAAAAATTCTAGTATTCCTCATTCTCCATAATGGAATTTATCGTAGCAGTTTTTAGTTTTAAATGTGCAAGAATGTAGGCTCTATCCATTTATTTTTAGAATTTTTACCATAAGTATCAAATAAATTAAATATCAGTTTTCAAAGTTTAAGACTAAACTGAGAAAACAATGTCTGAATTGCCACAGTGTTCAGAGGCAGAAATGGATAGATCCAGGGCAACAGTATAAAAGTTAACTTTTGAGAAAGGAACAAAGACTTTCCTTTGATGTAGGAGGGAAAGAATAAGGACAGATGTTGCACTGCTGATGTGATGACACAGTGCTTATTTCTGAATTCAAATAAACTATCTGCAGCTACATAACTTAAAAATATTATCCCAGCCTGCTGAGAAGGGCAATAAACAAGCAAAACTTAGTCAGACAGTCTCAGAGGGCTGCACCCACTCACAGGCTCCTTCCCCATTTGTAGCTTTAGAGTGTGTCAGTGGCACAGCTACAGGCCCAGGCCAGAGGCCTGGGTGGATTTGTGTGCTTTTTTTTTCCTAGCAGACCAGCCAGGCACAACATGCAGGGATGTGACTGATGTCTTTCTCTTAAAGACGTGGAAGAATCTGAACCATGGGATGTACTAGGACAAAGGGGTGAAAAGCTTCTGATTTGGCAACATGGGTTGAAATTTTCTGTATAAACATTGATTGGGATGGGTGAGTTGACATGCATGATTTTCTAAAAGATAGCTTCAGAGTAATTAGAGAATTGCAGTCATTAAGAAAAGTATGTTTTAGTTAATACAGATGAGATTAAGAAGCTTGGATATAGAGTTTGTGATATTATATCCCTTTATCTCTTATAATTTTCAGGTATGCAGGATTATAATTTGATGTCTGTGTACTTTGCATGCTCCCCACCTGAAGTCCAGTTTCCTTCCATTACCATATATTTGACCCCTCTTTATCTTTTAATTCCAGATCTTCTTGCTTTTAACATTTTTTTAGTAACAGCATAGGATAAACTCAAAATCACAGGAAACCAAAAATGCTGTTTTTACCATTTATCATGGTGGCTGTAGACAGGGGAAAGTGATTATTCCTCTCTGTGATTGTGTTCTGTATGGCATTCTTGTAGTCTATTATGGGTAACAGCTGGTTGGAAAAGTAGAAGCCCCTCTGGATTGCTGGATTCATTAGTTATTAGTTTGTTCATTCAACATCTATTTATTGAGTACATACTTCTAGGTATTGTACTACTACTACTACTTATTATTATTTATTATTATTATTATAGCAGCTAAAGCTTACATAGCCCTTATATAAGGTACTATTCAAAGTTTTCCACTTGAATTTACTAATCTAATCCTTACCCCATAAGTTCTTGTTTATCCCATATTACAAATGAGGATGTACATGGAAAACACAATCTCTGACCTCAGAGCACATACAGACTGACAGAGAATAGAGCCTTGAACAGTTCATTACAAATTACACCTCTGTACTATGGAGGGAGCACATGCCAGGGAACCCTACCTCAAGGTAAGACCAGAAAGATGTAGAAAGGGGCATGGCATGGGGGTGTGACTGGAATGAATATTGCAAGCAGAACAATCACTTACATGGATTTCTGGGCACTTGCGTTACAAAGAAGCATTTTAGGAAGCAAAAAGCCAGGTGTTTGGGGTTTGGGGAGTGAGAGGCTAGGAAGAATAGATTGGCAGAGGACACAAATTTTGCATATCTAGTTAGAGGCCATTATAGTATTGTAGTCCGTGTCAAATGGTGGGGATGTCAAGAGAGAGGTAGGGTATTAGAAGCCTTTAGGAGGTAGAACAAACAGGACTTGGCGACTCAAGGCCATGACAGGGGGTGGGGGATAAGGGTGAGGATTGGCCCCAGGCCTTTGGGTGGCCGGTGAGGCTGTTCATGGAAGTAAAGAACAGGGTCTCCCTGGCCCTGTGACAATTGGCATCATTGGCCATAGAGAACATAGCATTGGCATCTCTGCTAAAATGAAAGGTCACAATGAGTACCCACATTAGAACCCAGGCTCATGACAGAACAAACTCAGTTTACTGGCCTTTTCCAAAGATGCACACCATGTGCCCAAGCAGAAATGGCCTTGGACATCACTGCCCATCCCCTTGCTGTGTGCCAGACCTTCTCTATTCCTATTTTCTCCTGCCCATATCATCTCTCTTCTCATAATTCTTTTTCCCCACAGCATCTCATAATCTCTCTGCTAACTCATAATTTTAGTCAACTTTTAGTAACTCTTTCCCTCCCTTGATATTGTTATCAAGAAAGACTATAGTTTTGTTTAGAGAATGAATTAAGTTTACTTGAATAGAAAATCACTGAAAAAATAATGGAAATTGTTTGTAAAGTCCAAGTACAAATGAAGTAAAAGAGTTTTGGAGAAAAGCCTTACAGTTGGAAGGATTTTTGAATTGTTTCAACTGTCATTGGATATAGTTCTAGCAATAACTTTAAATAGGTGCAGGCTAACAAATGGATTGATAATGATCTAAGCATTTGGAGGAGAGATTGATGGGGGATTGCTTTTATTTTTTTGGCAAAACTACAGATAGGATGAAAATTGCTGTGGAGGAATCAATGCTGCAAAGCAACAGGTAATGGGATAGCTTGTTACAACATTTAAGATCCTAGGACCTGATTAGGCTTTTATTATTGCATTATTTTATATACAAGAAGCTTATATACTCAAATATAAAAAATTAAGAAACATGTTGTTTTGAATGTGTTTCTGCCTTATGTAGGTGTTGTCCTTTTCTATCCACCATCCCTGGGGCTCTCTTTAATGCAGAAAGCAAGTGTATTTGACTGTCTTCTACTCTGCGACTTGTGAAACTGTCTCCACTTTTAGCTGACTCCCCTTCTCCTCTTTAGTCCCCCTTTATGCTGAAAATGACTCCTTTCAAATTTCTCGTGTTGAAAGAACATGAAACCAAATTCATGGTTCACTAGAGAATCCCGCAGAGTCATTGTGCAAGTAGCCCGCCAAAGCAGAGGAAGGTTAAAATAAAGGCTTTGGGGTTTTTGTTGTTGTCTTAGAGGTTAAATGTCTGTTTTGGTTTTATTGAAATAATAGGAGGGACTGTTAAGCTCCGCAGTTTGAAAAGAGTCATAATGTTCTCTTTAAAATAGCAGGAGTTTTATAGTTTGCTTGGGGTTTTTGGGGGGGGTGGGGGGAGATTTTTTAGTTTGTTGTTGTTGTTTTGTTTTTTGTTTCTTTGGATTATTTTTTCTGTTCCAGTTCTCTGACTGTAAGTTCCAAGTAGGTACCTGGAGCCAGTCAGTGTTTCATATCCCCTGACAACCTACCACACCCATTAGCTGCCGGGGATGCTCACAAAACCCACTCATCGAAGGGGACGTCATTGGCATTTCAAAAGGTGAACTGAAAGCCAGAGCCACAGCTCCAGGCTCCTTTCTCTCACTCCATGAGAATGTATTAAATCTCCATGATGTTCATAGAAGGTCCAAGGGTACGTGTTGTGGGGGGTGCCGAGGCAAACAGAGAAATGGCCTCTGACTCCGGGCGCTTAAATTTAAGTAAAGGAGGTTGGCTTTGTATCCAAAGAGCAGAAAATAAAATAATGAGTGCTATAGGCAGAAACTAGAAGAAATGCTATGAGAATTCAAACAAGAAGAGAAGAATTTTAATAAGTAGATTTGGAAAAGCATTACTGAGCAAGTGACAAGGAAGTTAGGTCTCACAGGATTGGTTGAATTGGTTATTCAAAGATGGAGCAAAGAACATTCTAAACATTCCAGGTTTAAAGAATATTATGAACGAATATTATGAATAAGGCAAGGAAAAACATATATAGTTGGCAAGGCTATTTGTTTAGCTGGGGCCTTGGAGAAATACAGGAAGTCAGAAGAAATAAGGCTACAAAAATTAGTGGAAATTGTCAGGATGGTTGCTTCAGGGAATGGAAGTTGAGGGATAGATGGGAACTTCCCCTTTTAACTTTCTATGCTTTCATATTGTTTTAATTTCTTACATTTCTTTATTGAATAAGTAGGGACACATTATGAAAACCCTTGAATACCAGGCCAGGGAATTTTCTTCATTTGGTTGCAAAGAAACCACCAAAGCAGAAAGGGCATGGTGAGAGTTGTGCTCTGTGGAGGTGTTTGTGGAAGAAATCTTTAGGGCATATTGGAGATGAGTAAATGGCTTAGGAAATATCATAATAGTACAAGTTGAGAATGATGGAAACAGAAGAGGCTAGAAGTGTGAAGAGCTGTGCTGGATGGAACCCAGAGCAGTTCTTCATGGCAAAAGGCCGACTCTGTTTCTCTTCCTCGTTCCTGGCTATCTGAGTGCTCCTGGCACTGAGGGTGCAGCCGAGGCACAGGAAGGAGAACAGGAGCTGCTGCTTCTCTGGGACACTGCTTTAAACCTGGAGTCGATTCCTTACGTTTGCCTTGCTGTTGCTCAAAGGATTGCTCTCTAGACCAAAGCTACTATTATAAAGGCATAATATACCCAATCCTTCATGAAGGTGAAAAGTAAAGCTCAAAGAGCACTTGATGGGGGCAAAATTAACCCATAAAACAACCAGAGAAAAAGATGAGAAATTAGACTTTCTAACATCCTTTCCAGTTTGCTTTGTGTTAGGCCTCATCTCTCATGATCAATCTTACCCTCTTTCTTTGGAACTGACCACACTCTTCATCTTTGCATTTTCCCATAAATGTACTTAAAGAGGTAGTCAGTAAATGGATCATTGCCTTCTCTCTGGCACCATGGCCAGTCCCACTTCTG